CAGTCCGCGCCAGAGAGAGGGCGCTTGGTGATTGTGTGACCTACTTCCGCGATACTCGCCGGCTCCCGAGGCTCTGATAATGTGAGACCGACTTCCTGGTATACATGCCGGCTCCATAGGCTCTGACAAGCCGTCCTAGCCTTTGAGCTAATGCATGGATGATACTGCATGCCATGGAGGATTACTGGAGAACTGATACTTGTTAATTATCAAGTGGACTATAACTTTGAACTCTTGGAGGATAACTCACCTTGTAACCGCTGGTGGTTCCCTTATTTACCACTATAATGTCTTAAAGCATAGAACTTAGTAGGGCTAACCATACTGATATCTTAGCCATAATTTTATATAGTGTAAGAGATCCTCTATTTAACATATATAAATAATTGAGAATACAATATAAAATAAGGATTGTCTTGGAAGCAATAGTTTTGTCTTTTTGATATTTATTATATAAAAATATAAATATCCATTATAGCAGAGTTTATAAGATTAAATTACATGCTTGCAAATATCATTAATAGGTTAACATACCCTTCTGAACATGTCATCATGTCAGCCTCTCTGTCATTTTAAGATGGAGCAGCGTCTGTCTCCAAGTCTCTCCTCTGTGTCTTAACATTTAAAAGTACACCTATTTATACCTTAGGTGTCTCCATTTTAGGTTACTATAGTTCAAATATGAAAAAGTAACACTTCTTTTACTTTATTCAATTTAGGACCTCCCTTAATTTGGCAAACATACAAGGCCATAACTAAAGGGTGCAAACGTCATGGAAATTTTCCTGACTTAGTTCAAGATGGCATCTTAAAGTCTGAATAGGTTATCTGTTGTTTATACTAAGTCGTAAGTGTACAGTCGTGGGAGATTCCCGGATTTGGGGAAGTTCCATTAACTTGGGGTTACCACAGTATATTGTGTACTGCAAGTGTCGTAGTATAGCCTTGAAGCTTGTTTATGCATTATTGTTATTCTAATTCGTCTGGGACAAAATGGCGCAAACATATTATGCACTGAGGTTATTGCTTAAAGAAACAGTTATGAAAAACAATATGTTCCATTTCTAACACCTTTTCAGTTTTCAATATCTCTTAAAGACAAAGTACACAGTTTAAGAAATACAACATTTCATTCTAAAACTTGTATTATTTGCATTTGCCCATAACAACCTTAACCTTAAGTATACCTTTCAGCTATTCTTTGCTATCTCATTTATTGATGAACTATTTATTGCTTGCTTAAAACTTCACTGCTTCAAGCTACTAATTATATGGAGGACAACTCCCATCAAGCTTAATCACTAGGAACTGTTTCTTGCTTTGCAAATACTTTGCTACCTGCTAAATATCATTATTGAAGATTATTCCTAGCAACCTAATGAATCTTATTTAATATATCTCTGAGGAAATACTTATTGATGAACTTTGTATTGTTTAATGACTTTCACTTATTCTTATTGGATTATTGCCTAAATGCAATTCATTAAATTTAACATTTATTAAAATTTCATTTGATTCTCAAAGTTCCAGCAATCCTCTCCTTTATTAAAGCTACAGTATTGATACTTTAAAGATTCTCCGCTTCTTCACTATAGTAATTAAGGAGTTCTACAAGCTGCAGTTGAGTTTCAATCCAAATAACCCAAGTAGCGTAACATGGAGCACTGTTAGCGACCAGACTAAAGGAAAGACTTGCCAACTCCAGAATTCGCCTCTTACAACAGTTTCCTACATAACCCTGACTCAGAACAACACACTCTGATCCTACACCGCATAATATAGACTCCTTCCTGGACAATATAAAACTCCCTAGAAACTCCCTAGACTGTCCACAGAGGATCAGCTGGCATGATCACCCCCTTCACTTTGGAGGAGATCACTCAAAGCATTGCCAAACTCCCGCCTATAATGGAGCCTGGTCGATACCTCCCACCTCCGGCCAGCATGGGGAAAAAGACCCTCAAGTCCCGGCAAGAATGGAGTGAGGCCGCTGCAAAGATCACCTTCTTGCTCCTTGGGTGAGTTGATGCTCCAGTTGATGCTCCAGACCCCATCCCAGAAGCCAGGGCCTCCGCGGCTAAGAAGGAGAGAAGATCTACAGAGGTGGACGCAGATAGCGCCCCAACTACCAAGGGCGACCTTAAACATCTCCTGCAGGAGATGTACCATGTTCCAAGCAGACTGCGCACTGATCCAGGAGGATATGCATACCCTCTCCGGCGGCATAAAGTCAATCAAAGATGAAGCAGCGACAGCCCACCAGACTCACCTCGGTGCTGCCCTACTCGCCCAGCAGCTCACACAGCAACCGACGGTAACAGGCCTAGAAGATACACAGCGCCGACGCAACCTGAAGATCAGGGGGGTGAGCAGCGACATAGGCACTGAAGAAGTGCCTCAGTATGTCCGACGCCTACTCTCCTCACTACTACCAACCAAGCAGGTGAAATCTATGCCCATTGAGGGGATATACCGAGTGGGCCGTACCCGCAGACTCATGACAACTCCTCTACGGGACGTGATTGTGACCTTCCGATCCCTTGCTGACAAACGGGCCGTGATGTCTGCCGTCCGAGACAGACAACCACTGAACTTTGAAAGTTTCACTCTATCCTTCTATGAAGACCTCAGCAGAGCCACTCTCACATGGAGAGCATCACTATGTCCCATTACCCAATGACTACAGGCAGTAGGGATTCGCTACAGATGGGGCATACCACGCATGCTGTGCACCTACCGAAATGGCAAGGAAACACAGACTGGAGGACAACACCGGAACACCTGGCTTTTTTCAAGCCCTCGGTCTACCCGACCAATCAGCTCCAGAAACTGCTCTCATGTCTTCCTCATAATGGGACATAGATAATGTGGTGCCATTCACACCCAGGAACGCACCAGGCAATGGGTGAAGAGACCCTGATAGGGTTAACCCGGGACGTTAAAGTACCTCTGCAGTGTCCAATGTTGCAATCTGATACCCTGAGCACTACACTTTAGGTTTATTATTGTTTATTATTGTTTTGTTATGTTCTTATCTCTGTTCTTCTCAATGCATGACCTCAATTAATGAGGATATATCTAAGCAAGCCATGATGGCTACGACCACCTATAAAACAACCTCCCCACTCCCCCCAGGGTAATGGGGCTCTGAAGCAAGCTTGTCAGCTACTGCAATAGACTGATACCCCTATAAATAGTTCACACACCGGTACGAGCCTAAACTGAACACCAGACCTAACTTGTTTTATGCATCTTTCCACTCCAGTGACTACCCTAACAAGTGTATTGTTCCTTTATCTTGTGTCATCACCTATAAATGAGGTGTATCATATTCCATGTATTACACTGTCTTGTACCCCATGCTCATGTTTTTGCCATACATTTGCATTATTTTGTACTATACAATGAACCTCAATAAAAAATAGAATATAAAATAAAAAGTCTCAGACGATGCCTGTTAACCTGCCCTTGACATTTAAAATTCACCTTCCAACTGGAATGGCAGGCTTCCTACATCACTTACCTGGGAATAAATCTTACTAAGATCACGATAAATCTTTTCAAACACAACCATACACCACTTCTCTGTAAGTGTAGAACCTAGCTTAATAAATGGAAAACAGTACCCTTATCATGGGCAGGGAAAATCAACACTAAACTGATAATACTGCCACACATTTATTTATTTATTTATAAAATATTTTACCAGGAAAGATACATTGAGATTTCTCTCATTTTCAAGTATGTCCTGGGTCCACAAAACATTGCATTGATACATTAGGGTACAATATGCAAATTTTAACATAGAACAGGTAGGAATATATAATCAACCATAACACATGCATTCCGTTTTGAGGTGTTTAGAGAGGGATCTCTTAAAGTACTTTAGGCTTGGGGAAGATTTTAAAGTGTGCAGGAGGATGTTCCACAATTGCGGTGCTCTGTAGGAGAAGGAGGATCGGGCCGCTTTCTTTTTGTATTGAGGTAGACTAAATAAAGTGCTAGTACTGGATCGGATGTTATAGGAGGTGGGAACAGCATTCTGCTGGAAAGATGAAGGGTATGTCTGAATTCCAGCAACAGCCAGTTTAGTTCTTTTAGCATGTCACAATGGTGGGTCCTGTAATTACATTGTAGCACAAATCAGCAGAACGAGTTATACAATGTATTGAGTTTATTAAGGTGGGATTGCGGTGCAGGTGCATATACTACATCTCCATAATCAATGATTGGCATCAGCATTTGCGGCACAATCTTTTCCTTTCCTGTAGGGCTTAGGCAGGATTTTTTTCTGTACAGGGCACCTAGTTTTGGATAAAGTTTAGATGCAAGTTTTTCTATGTGGAGACCAAAAGATAGATTGGGGTCTAACAACATACCCAAGTATTTGAAAGAGTGGACTGCGGTCACTGTGCTATTTGAATTAGTTTTGATGGATATGTGGGAATTAAGTAATTTGTGTAATTTAGGTACTGTTCCAAAGATCATTGTGACAATTTTGTAAGTGTTTAGGAAGAGTTTGTTTTTTGTGATCCACTTTTCTACCTCTGTAAACTGGTCTTGGAGCACAACCTCAAGCTGCGGTAGATCGGATTTGCTTGCATAGATTACTGTGTCGTTTGCGTACATGTGTACATTTGAAGATTTGCAGACATTAGGCAGATCATTTATAAATAATGTAAATAGTAGAGTGCCGCGAATGGAACCACACAAGACTGGGAGAGGGAGGAAGTCACTGTCAGAAATGGACACATATTGCGAGCGATCCGATACATACAATCGAAACCAGGTTAGCGGACAATCAACAATAGTTTTTGAGTTTGTGCAGTAGAATTTCATGGTCAAAGGCCTTTGCAAAATCAAGGAAAATAGCTCTAGTAAGGTCTCTTTGTTCCATGCCAGTTTGGATGTCATTGCAAACTTTTAAGAGGGCAGTTATAGTGGAGTGATTCTGGCAAAAACCCAATTGATCAGGGGTCAAATAGTTTGATTGTTGGTAATACTCACATAGTTGCGTATGGAAACATTTTTCTAAGATTTTTGATATTACTGGGAGCATTGATATTGGGCGATAGAAACCAAAGTAGTGTCACCACTTTTATGGATATGCACTACTCTTGCAGTCTTCCAAAGTTTGGGTATGTATCCTGACACCAAAGGTTCGTTAATTAGGGTTGTGACAGGTTTAGCAATTGCCGGCGCACTGAGCTTCAACAGCATTGCTGGGACTTGATCAGGTCCAGACTGGTTTTTCAGTTTTAGATTATTAAGGTGTACAGGTCTAAAAATGAACTTGTCTATATTGTGTCTTTGCAAATTTAGTGGGTCCTGATCCACATTTGTAGTTTCAGGATGTGTGTCATTTATTAGCTTGGCAATCAGGATAGTGGAGCATCCGACAAAATAATTGTTAAAGGCATTTGCAACATCTAAGGGAAGTTGCAGGGTTTGGTTATCCACTTTGACAGTGGAGGGTTGGGAGTGGATTGGGGGAGTTTGTAATTTATTTATGACTTTCCAAAAGATTCTAGGGTTTGATAGGTTATTTTTCAGATTTTCACAGAAATATTGGGCATTGGCCAATTTAGTTTGTTTTGTGCATATATTTCGCCATTGTCTATATGCACAGTGATCGTTCATAGAGCTAGTACGCTTGAACTTTGACCACAATGAATTTCGAAACTGGTACATTTGGATGAGGTCAGCTGTGATTCAGTTCATATGTGCTCCTTTTACTCTCACCTTACGCAGCGAGCATGCAAATTCCAAACTTGTAGAAGTTCAGATTGAAAGAATTCAACAGCACAGTCTAGACCTGGGATAATGTTTAATCTTTGCCATTGGAGGGTCTTGATGTCATTAAGAAAGGATTCAAGATTACATTTTTTGAAGATCTAGTGATTTTAACTTTGGGACAGGATTTAGTTTGCGCACACAGTACACTAAACAGTGATAACTGAAACTGTTAGGGAGAACACCGGCCTCCTGCATTCTATCAGGAGAAGTGGATAGAATCCAGTCGAGCAGGGTATGGTTATGGCTTTTAATGTTTATGTGAGTTGGGGAGGAGATTAATTGCTTTAGCTGCAAAGTCTTAGCAAGAAACATTATTTTTAGGATTCAGCCAATCAATACTAAAATCTCCAAAGACCAACAGTTCACTTTTTGGGTTTTGAGCTATGGTTTCTTTAAGGAGATGGGCTATGTCAGATAGGGAATGCACTGGGGAGCTAGGTGGGCAGTAGATTCCTGCAACAATAATGATTTACTGCACATGATCTCAATTGTGCCAGAAAGGAAATTAAAGGTGGCAAGAGGGCTAAAGTTTTGTAAGGGGGTAAACTTTATGGAATTGTCCACATAAATAACAATGCCTCCTCCTCTCTTTGCTCTGTCATTTCTAAAACATGAATAACTCTGTATTGCAATGGCAGAGTCTAGTATTTTAGTTGTTAACCATGATTCTGATAGCGCAATGATTCTTGGTTTGTAATGGGAACACCAGGCTTGCAGTGCATTTAGTTTAGGGAGTAAGCTACGGATGTTGAAGCGCACAAAAGAGAGGCCTTTTTTAGTTGGGAGGTTAGTACTAAAATTAGCTGGAGGACCAGGGTTAGACTCCACATTATTTGCAAGAGCAAGTAACATAAGGAATAGGAATTTGGACATCATTTTTGTTTGGCCATATAGTGAATAGGATACTTTTTAATTTTGTGAGGTGGGGGTAGGAGGACTATTTTTTGAAACTCTCCACCAGCACTCAGCTGAAGAGTTACAGCAACGGAGCAGGCCATGGTATATGATAATTTGTTTTTCAGTTTGAGGTGTGTGTTTATGCCGATAGTGATGTGAACAAAATTGGATTGAGAAAAGGGTTATTAAGAATAACGATAGTGAAAAACAAAAATTAAAGATTAAATAAAAGTAAATAATATTGGTGTGTGATATATAGCTATTTGGAGGGAGAGAGGGTATGTATTCTATAGGGTTAATAGATTGGAAGGGTGTGCTGATCAGTGCTTGCACCTGTCATTTCAGGAGAATGAAAGTTGTGTGGGAGACTATCTATAAATGAGGAAATGAGCATGGGGAGAGGGGGAGGTGGCGGGCTAGTGGGCGAGTGGTAGGGTGGGATGGGGGAGATGCATAGATGGACATATGATTTAAGGTCATTTAAGGAAAACCAAAGAGTAAGATTGAGAATTACAGTGGTATTCATGTAGGGAAATACAACTATTAAACAAATAACAAGAAAGATATATGGGCCTGAGATGGTTAAACTAACTTTTAACATAATGGACAAAGACAAAGGGGATAAAATACTTTGCATGGTTATATTTAGACTGCTCCCCATTTCTATACCCCCATCCTACTGCAAAATGTTGCAAAGGGTGCTCACACAGTTCATCTGGGTCACCAAAAAAGCCAGACTTCCACTGAGCTTGCTACAATTGCCAACCCAAAACAGAAGCAATTGTAGCAACATTTCCTTTAAATTACAAAGCATCCATCCTGCTACCAAGTTGCTACCATTCATGCACCGAAAGGCACATTGGGATGGGTAGACATAAAGGAACAACTCACTCCAGGCATCTCCCTAACAGAGCACCTCTGGACACCCAAACACCTTAGGCCAATGCTGCCTGCCGCATTTCCCACCACCACACTTATGTTAAGCAC